CACGTAACAGTTCCTTAACTCTCACATGTGGAGCGAATGGAAGACTTGAAACAGCTGAAGATTGGGCTGTTGCTCATCCGAAAACTGCACATCACACCACCTTTCGACCTTGTATGGTCTGGTCAGGTGGAGATAGCAGGTCTCAAACCCTGGACGGTCAGTATGTGAGTTGCGACCTCTGCCACCGGCTCACGACCGTCAGCGTTTTGCACAACGGTTTACTAAACACTGTTGAGGGTCATTTTGAAGTACACCTTGTGTGAATGAATTGCGATGCGCCATCTCAAAGTGAACTGCCATTAACGTTGAAGTGAACCTTGGTCATTCGATTACTGGGACCGTAGCTGTAGAAGCCGAAGGGAATTTGGTGTTGCCCGCCTGAAACCACTGCACTCCATGACGCGTTTCAGACCTGTTTGACCCCATCAGGTGAAGATAGCAGGCATCGAACGCGGGACCATTGGGATTTCAGTTGTGACCGCCACCCCTAAGCCAACGGGTCACGACGGGCAAAGCTTGTCACAACGGTTAATGACAGATTGGAAAGTCGATTTGAAGTACACGTTGTGTGGATGGATTGCGACGCGCAATCTCAAAGTGGACCGCGATTCCCATTGAAGTGAACCTTGGCCATTCGATCACTAGGACCGTAGCTGATGAAGCAGCAGCAAATTGGGTGTTGCCCGTCTGAAACCACTGCACTCCATGACGCTTTTCGAGGTTATTTCCTCTCATCAGATAGAGATAGCAGGCATCGAACCCGGGACCATTGGGATGTTAGTTGTGACCGCCACCCCTGAGCCACCGGGTCACGACGGGCAAAGCTTGTCACAACGGTTAATGACAGATTGGAAAGTCGATTTGAAGTACACGTTGTGTGGATGGATTGCGACGCGCAATCTCAAAGTGGACCGCGATTCCCATTGAAGTGAACCTTGGCCATTCGATCACTAGGACCGTAGCTGATGAAGCAGCAGCAAAATTGGTGTTGCCCGCCTGAAACCACTGCACTCCATGACGCGTTTCAGACCTGTTTGACCCCATCAGGTGAAGATAGCAGACCTCGAATATGGGACCAATGTAAAAGTTGCCGAAACCTCTGTCACTTTGGCTACCGGATCACGACGAGCAACGCTTAACACAACAGTTAACGACTGCTTGGATTGTTCGTTTAAAGTACCGTATATAAGCCGAGAAATTTGAACAATTTTCCATGTCTGTAGTGGGGCGGGGGTGTGTCGGCTCATACAAAAATTATGCGCAACTTGAAAATTTCACATGCAAAATCCACCCAGAAATCCACTGCACACCTGTGCCCCTATCTTGCCTTAGCACGACTCGCTGGTGACAGATGGTATCCCAGGCGGGAGTTTGAAGTGCCTATAGGTAGACACATTATGTTTGTGTCGAACATTCTCGATATATTACAAATGAGACTTTCGCGACTGATGTCAGTAACAGAAACGTACTGATTATACAGAATCGAACACTGAAATATGACATTGGAAAAACATTGAACAGCAGGTACCGGTAGCTTTTATAGGCTCGCATATCGACTGTTGCACCTAGTTATTAAAACTATACTCGAATCCAAGTCAGAATCTCTAGTTTCTGGTACTGCTCGTCTGTCATCGGGACGTCAGGGTGATTCTCGTCATCTCCAACTTCACTGCTTCCGTCATGCCAGCATACCGACTTCCGCGACGTACATTGTTTGCGCGTTGTGGGTGCAGTTGGAAGAGGAGGAGGGGAGGCCAAGCGATGACTTGGTCGAGAGAGATGAAAACCCTCACTTCGAAGTTGGCGTCGGTTGGTGCATCCCGACTGCCTGACTGGTGTCCTGCGGACGGTGAACACGTTTGGTTGGACACAATAGCTGATACGGCTTGGAGCCTGTCCAATGGCATTTGTGTTGTGAGTTTCTTTGTTCATCCCCCTCCAATCACGATCTCACTCGTTAGGCATAATATAACTCTTTTTAAAGGCATGATAGCCAGCTGTTAGCTCTCCGGAACGATGTCCATCCGTTACTGGGGACTCAGTCGGAGTGCCGCTGTTTGTCTTCCTTTTCTTGTATTTTGTATTGCGGCACAATAGCGGAGGTGCTTTCCACCTGCAGCTAACGTGTATAATGAATGAAATGATTGTCGTATTCCTCAAAAATGGAATGGTCCTCACTTCCATCTATTGCATGGCTGATGCAGCATTTTTTACACGACCGTACTATAATTTCTACTTTAATATCCAGCCACGCTTCTTGCGTTCACTCTGCAATTGTAACAATATCAACCCTTTTAATATTGCCACCCTTCATCGACGCTAAATCAGATGATGCCATCTATTTATTCCACCTAGCCCGAAGCCTATTTTTAATGGGTTTGTTGAGACAGACATCCAGTGGCTGCAAGATTGATGTCACTTCACCGGGAATTAAAGCCACGGACGACTTCAGTTCACGACACCGTTTCTCCACCTTCTCAGTTCGGTGTGCTCTAAAGGAATCCCAAACCAGCACCGTTTCGCTTTACCCAAACTGTATGCAGCTAGTCCATAGTTCCACTGTCGTCCATCCATTCTTTCGCGTGAGCCCGCACAAACACGCCGCTTGGGAACTTCGCTCCTTTAGGCAGCGTCTTATACTTAAAAATATTGGACGGTGATAGACAGGAACCATTTGCCATACACCCTATGACAACTGTGAACCGTGTCTTCTCGTGTTTCGTCGTCTTTACAAAAGCTGTGTTAGCACCTTTCTGCTCCACCGTGCGATTTGAAGGTATATCAAAGCACACAGGCGTCTCGTCCATATTTTCTATTTGGGACTGTTCAAAGTCGTATTGTTTTCTCATGTGATTCACGAATCTTTGAAAAGATTCAACTTTACTGCCCATTTCCTTCGGCAGTTTCTGGGCTAGTTTTGTGCTGGTCCGTAGACACATGTCAAATCGGTTCCTAAAACGATTACACCACTCGGAGGAAGCAACAAATTTCACCGCTTTTGATGACTGGAATTCCGGACTTTTTAACATTGTGAGCGCCCTGATCCGAATGTTCGCTCGGGTAACAATTAAGCCACCGCGCTAACTTTTCCTCCGGTGCAGGAAACATGGTCGTTCTGCCGCGTGCTGCTCTCTTGCCTACAGGCATTAGTGACAAATAGGACTTTTCATTTCGCCATTCTCTCACTTGCTTTCCATTCACGGGGAAATCGTGCGGCCATATAATTAGTAAGTTGCTCGCCAAACGGGATAACTTTTCACTTAAAACCAGCAGCATATGCACATCGCTACTGTCCAGACATTTTCTCACGTTTCCACAGCTTTGGGAGATCACACGAAATATGGGTACGTTCCCTCTCAGCTGGGTCGTGTGACGTCGCGTTAACGTTATTTCGGTTAGCGAACCAAAGCGCTTATACAATATGCTGTGCTAATCAATCTGGTGCATTAAAAGCACAACATCGTCCCACACCAGTGATCGTGAGCTCCGCTCTCACCCACTGCTCAACTGCGATTTAGATGAATGAGGCCCCCGATTATGAGAGGCGGAGAATCTGACATGCCCTTTCATTTTATCCCTTATTGTCCGCTGCCTTACCTGTTTTGTGTTTGACATCTAATCAGTACGCTGTGCAGTGCGGTTAAAATCTTTGTTTGGACGGCTCTAAGTCCCATTTTAACTGCGATCATTACACATTAGGTCGCCTGAACTGACCAATAATTGATCAGCTTTCGCTTGAGCGCACTCAGGTGAGAAAAGGTAGTGGTGAAGTCAAAATCGTGCGAAACAATTTCGTTTCTCTTTTTGCTGATTGTTTGGGGGTCGGCTAATATACAGAGTTGCGATTTTGGACAAATTCGACGTTGCAAAGTCATACTGTCGGTTATATGTCGGTTTATACACGGTAATCGTTGTGGGAATGTATTACGACGCGCATTACCAATCTACATAGCGACTCACATTGAAATGAGACTTCGTCATTCAATCACTAGGTCCCAACTGAAATCCCAGTGGTCTTGAGTTCGAGGCCTGCTGTCTCTGGCTGGTGAGATCAAACAAGGTCGGAACGAATAGCGGTGTGCAGTGTTTTCGGGCGGGCCACACTTAATTTCCACCTACCTTATCTACAGCCCTGTTGTTCGCATTGGCCAAGTTCCGTTTCATTATGAATCGCGGTCCACACTGAGATTGCGCGTCGCAAGCCAATCACACAACGTGTACTTCAAAATGGTCCCGTTGTGTCATGCATTGCCCTTCGTGTGGTTGTGCAGCGTTTTTGGGCGGGCAACACCCAATTTCCACCTACTTCGGCTACAATCCCGGCAACCGCAGTGACTAAAATTCCTTTCTTCAATGTGCATCGCAGTCTACATTGAGATTACACATCACAATCCATTCACCCAGCGTGTACTTTAAAATAACCTTCAAGTCACGAGTTTATATGCTATACAGTCGTCTTTAGAATTCTCCATGACGGTTATCTCATTCACAATAAAGATTCACTGTGTTTTCTCACTTGACGCTATCGCAGCCAGTTGGGGAGGGGGGAGGTGCAACGGAGCGGGTAGGACACCACAGTAAGGATCATTCAGTAAGCAGCTGCCTCAATGTCTATGCGGTGTGTGCACATGATTCTACTGTTCATGAGTGGCAGATTTTGCACGATGTCCAGACTTACTTCTATTCTCGTTTACGGCTTTACGATACATTGCTCGTCACATGTTCCCTCCATTAATGCCCGCCTGTTTTGAGTGTGTGTGTGTGTGCCACTACCAAGCAACCGTGATTTACATTCCAACTTGCATACACAATGAACATAATGTAGGAAGGAATGGTACGGCGCAATTCAGGTTTTGGCAGTCACCGTAGCAAGCATCTCGAAGGTGGACGCCACCAACTTTATACCGATCCCTCGTGTACTACGTATAAACTGATCATTATATCCGAACTCCTTAACGTCTCTCATTTATGCTGCCTCATTTGTTGATTTTTCGATTCAGCACCCTCAGGGTTTCCATGGGACACTTTGAAGGACCAAGACATTCATCTTTTGACCGGAGCTGTCAAACACTTTGTGCGACATCTTGATGAGCCCTTGATGACTTATGGACTACACGATCAATTTCTGGTTGCCATCAGTGAGTCCATGTTCTATATTTACCCCTTTCGGTTGGTGCGCTCTTCCGGAGCTTTATCGCATGCATAAAAAGGCATATCCGTAAACCCTAGAATGTACATTATTACCGATATTATTATTACTATGATTCATTCATTCATTCATGGTCCACTCTCAGTCAGCAGTTTTTGGCAAGTCTAGAAAAGCACCAGACACGGTGTTTCGACCTTCTGGGTCCCGTCAGTGGTGCGCCTTCCATTGGGCCCCTGCCGGGTTTCGACCCCATGACTTCCGGATGCTAGCCGCTAGTGCCACTTCGCCATGGGTGACAGCCACGGACCTGTGTTATGGGGACCCAACGTTCCCATAATGATCACAACTCGATTCAGTCAAGTGCACATGTTTTCATTCAACCTTCTAACTCGTGAGACATTCACATGTCGATTAGCCTTTGTACCTCAGCAAACATTCCTGTTTCTGGCCAACCCCCACAATCATGAAACATTCAAGGTTTTTTTACCTAAGAAACATTCATTTTCCCATCTCAGCCTCCGCATCTACCAACATTTACGATTCGACATGACGCCGATTCAGTTGCTTATGCCTTGCTCCCAGCACCTGCTTACGAAAACCAGTTTATGTGACAATTCACGTATGCTACCATCGAGGTACCATCGAGTAGGTAGTAGTAGTAGTAGTAGTAGTAGTAGTAGTAGTAGTAGTAGTAGTAGTAGTAGTAGTAGTAGTAGTAGTAGTAGTAGTAGTAGTAGTAGTAGTAGTAGTAGTAGTAGTAGTAGTAGTAGTAGTAGTAGTAGTAGTAGTAGTAGTAGTAGTAGTAGTAGTAGTAGTAGTAGTAGTAGTAGTAGTAGTAGTAGTAGTAGTAGTAGTAGTAGTAGTAGTAGTAGTAGTAGTAGTAGTAGTAGTAGTAGTAGTAGTAGTAGTAGTAGTAGTAGTAGTAGTAGTAGTAGTAGTAGTAGTAGTAGTAGTAGTAGTAGTAGTAGTAGTAGTAGTAGTAGTAGTAGTAGTAGTAGTAGTAGTAGTAGTAGTAGTAGTAGTAGTATAGTAGTAGTAGTAGTAGTAGTAGTAGTAGTAGTAGTAGTAGTAGTAGTAGTAGTAGTAGTAGTAGTAGTAGTAGTAGTAGTAGTAGTAGTAGTAGTAGTAGTAGTAGTAGTAGTAGTAGTAGTAGTAGTAGTAGTAGTAGTAGTAGTAGTAGTAGTAGTAGTAGTAGTAGTAGTAGTAGTAGTAGTAGTAGTAGTAGTAGTAGTAGTAGTAGTAGTAGTAGTAGTAGTAGTAGTAGTAGTAGTAGTAGTAGTAGTAGTAGTAGTAGTAGTAGTAGTAGTAGTAGTAGTAGTAGTAGTAGTAGTAGTAGTAGTAGTAGTAGTAGTAGTAGTAGTAGTAGTAGTAGTAGTAGTAGTAGTAGTAGTAGTAGTAGTAGTAGTAGTAGTAGTAGTAGTAGTAGTAGTAGTAGTAGTAGTAGTAGTAGTAGTAGTAGTAGTAGTAGTAGTAGTAGTAGTAGTAGTAGTAGTAGTAGTAGAGTAGTAGTAGTAGTAGTAGTAGTAGTAGTAGTAGTAGTAGTAGTAGTAGTAGTAGTAGTAGTAGTAGTAGTAGTAGTAGTAGTAGTAGTAGTAGTAGTAGTAGTAGTAGTAGTAGTAGTAGTAGTAGTAGTAGTAGTAGTAGTAGTAGTAGTAGTAGTAGTAGTAGTAGTAGTAGTAGTAGTAGTAGTAGTAGTAGTAGTAGTAGTAGTAGTAGTAGTAGTAGTAGTAGTAGTAGTAGTAGTAGTAGTAGTAGTAGTAGTAGTAGTAGTAGTAGTAGTAGTAGTAGTAGTAGTAGTAGTAGTAGTAGTAGTAGTAGTAGTAGTAGTAGTAGTAGTAGTAGTAGTAGTAGTAGTAGTATAGTAGTAGTAGTAGTAGTAGTAGTAGTAATAATAATAATAATAATAATAATAATAATAACGGTTTATCAACTAGACACAAGGCCAACATAAAACCATTGAAGGTGAGTAACTCACTTCAGCTAATATGCCACAGGAAGAATGGGAGATTTTGACAAAAGGTAAAACAAAAAAATTTTGTTTTGTTTTTCGCATGCCGATTTTTCTCTTTTTTGTCATTTTCAATGTTTGTAGTATTAAACAGGTGAATAAATACAATACTGTACACAATTCCTCCATTGATTCCGGTTGCGGGCCATGTCTTCAAGAGTACTAAGCCATTGGCACTCCTCATCTTTGGGTCTTCATCCTGGAAGACGTACGGATCCAACAGCGGCTAGACACGACGTCAGCGATTTCATGTACTGCCGCCAAGTGGAAGGCTGACCACCACGCGGTCGCTTCCAGCCGGGTTCTTGACTAGCAAATATAGCGCGACGCGGTAGACGCTCAGGTGCCATGCGTAGGACATGACCGAGCCATCTTAACTGGCGCAACAAAACCAGTTTTTTAAAGGGAATACTCGCACTCGCCAAGATGCGATGTCGAACGTCATTACAGTTAACTCGATGTTGCCACCAAACACGAGCGATCCTCCTTAAGCAACTGTTATCGAAGGCAGGAAGACGATGCATGTCTTCCACGCGAATCGGCCAGGACTCGCACTCATACAACAATACTGAGCGAACTGATGCGCTTTTAAACGCGCCCCTTTAGTGAGTATGAGGCGTCGCGACGACACCATAAGTGCCTCGGATTGACAAATGCTGATCGAGCTTTAGCGATACGAAGAGAAACTTCTCTGTTGATAGTGCCGTCAGCATAAACACAGTTCCCAAGGTAGACGAAACTATCTACCTGTTCAAGTTGTGCACCCTCGAGAGTGAGCAGGGGAAAGCCAATCCTTGAGCAGTACTTTACACTTTAGATGCTCCAACCACCAAACGATCCAGAATGAGTTGCAGACCCTGAGGATCGTCAACAAGTAAGGCGATATCATCAGCATAATCTAAGTCGGTCTCGCGCTCACCCGGTAGAATCTCTAGGCCAAAATGTTGGAAACCTTCTAGGGCATTCGACAGAACGTCTTTGATGGCGAAGTTGAAGAGGAATGGGGACATAGGGCAGCCCTGTCGCACACCGCTATTGACAGCGAATTGCGAGGAAACCTGGTCATAGACCCTCACTCTGCCCGATATATGAAGGTAAAGTGCTCGTAAGATGGCGATATATTTCTCTGGCACCCCCTTCTTTAGCAACCAACGCCATAAAGCAGATCGATCAACGGAGTCAAAAGCGACACGTATGTCTAGGAATGCAACGATGGCGTGCCTGTAATAAATGTGGCGATGTTCGAAGAGCTGGCGGCCAGGACGGAAACCAGCTTGTTCTTCACGGTAGTATGACTCATGTACTGGGGATAGTCTGTGAAGCAGGATGGATGCCATTAGCTTAGAGGCAATCGCAATACGACTAATCCCGCGATGATTTGCTCATGAACTGCGAGTGCCTTTCTTGAAAATCGGGACAATAACTGATTCGCCACAAGAGGAAGGCACTTTCTCTTCATGCCAGATTTTCGCGAACAGCGCGGTCAGCTCCGGAGGAAGTCCGTCTAAGCTGGCAGCCTTGAAACGCTTCAAGCGTCGAATCTCGAGGCAGACTTCCGCATCGCTGGGTGGATTATGAGAGACGAGCCAGGGTGGACAACACGGGCTACTGCATGTACTGATGGATGGTGGAGGCCAGTTGAACTGCGAGTAAAGTGCTCGGCCCAGCGGTCCATACGCCTCTGTTGGTTGGTGATCGGAGACATCCACCTCACAAATGACCTCACTAACAGCAGGCTTCATGAGGCCAGTGGACCGAATGAGTTGGAAAAGCCTGCGAGTGTTGCCAGGGAGGGCAGCGGTCTCCATCTCTAAAACACTCTCAGACCACTATGTCTTGCGATCCTTGTGTAGGCTTTGCTTGAGCAGCCGGTTGGCAGAAGGGCGCTGCTCGTTGCAATCTGATTCCGCCGGGATATCTTTGCGGCGTTCGAACAGCTCCAGAGAACGAGCAGAGATTCAAGGCTTTAGGGGGCGTCGAGTTAGGCCGCAACATGACTGTCCGGAAATGGTCATCGCTTTCCGTATACAAGTCCAGTGTTGTTCCACTTCTTGCGGTCGATTGCAACTGAGTGCAAATGCCAATGAAGGCTGATAGCTCGCCTGGACAGAGGAATCAGTTAGTCTGTTTACATCAATTTTGCGGTGATTCGGGACCCTCCAAAACATACAGATTTCGCGCAGACCAGAACGGGATCTGAGTCAACGAAGGTGGACCAAAATGACCTGCAGTCCAGTACGCTGCCGCGTCATCTGAAGCTAATTGCAATGTGATCAATTTGAGACCACGGTTGTGTTGAAGAAAGGGGACGCCACGTTGCGGAACGCTTCTTCGTACGCCTGAAGTTAGTGCTCGAAAGAAACAGACGGTTTTCTTCTCACAATGTGAGAAGCCTCTCTCCGTTATCAGAGCGGTTCTCATCGAGCGCGTGATGACCACCAACGTGGCGTTCGTATGGTAACAGGCGGCCAACCCGTGCATTAAAATCCCCAGCAAGGATAACAACATCCGACTTTTTAGCATTAGTCAAGTGTTGTTGTAGGTTCCGGTAGAATTCGTCCTTGCAGTCAGTTGGAGCGTACACGTAGATCACAAACAAGTTGCGCCTCTCTTCGCTGTGCTTGTTGATTCTACATGAACCCGGATGCCGAACTGCACATAGTCGGCTGTTAATCGGGAACCAGTCCAGTAGTGCCACCTCGGCCTTGTCACTTAGTGCTATACCTACACCAGCCAAACCCGCTGAGGCTGCTTCTGGATCTCCAGAAAGACGCAGGTGATATCTGGCTTTGTGGTCAGTGGGGAATGTCAATGTAAGCACAGTGCTGAGATCTTGGAATCGAGTTTCTGAAAAGCAGCAGACATCAATGTCTAGGGACTCTAGGGTGCGCGCTAGACCGGCTTGCTGTCCATTCTGTATGAGTGTCCGAGCCTTGAAGCACGCCAGACGGAACGAGAATCGGGGAAGAAGAAGAAGAGTCATAGGTTGAACTCCTTGGTCTGCAGCGCTACCGGACTCACAGCCAGATTGTTGAAGACAGGAATCGGGAAGGTAAAGTAAGAATTGTTAGCAAACAAACAATTGGCGTGTGATGAAGTAGCTTGAAAGTGACTGGCAGAAACAGTAGCTGATGAGCACGTTGTAATACAGTCCATGGTTTTGTGAGAGGGCATGATACTACCCGGTTGCTCAAGCCGAAATAGGGGGTGGACTTAGGGGACTCTACCCCGAGCTTTCGACTGAATAGCCATCCCGGAAGGCAGCGGGGCGAATTTAGGGAATCGCGCCCATTGGGAGGCGTTGACTGTATGTTCAGTTCATGCGTCTTTGTTTGGCAGATTACCAAACAGGGGGCCAATACTCCCCATGAAGTCAGCACAATTGCTGGAATACCGAGGTGGAACATTGTCGCCGAACACTTTGCTGGAACGGGGTACACCCTAGCCATCCAGCTGGCACCACGAGGAGGTAGTTCGGCAAGCTAGCCAGCTGCGTGTGAAATTGCGTTCGGTCCAGGAGCCCGTCCAACTCCCGTGTAGAAATCGTGTTACGGTTAAGTTCACGAGTCGTACAACTTAGAATTCTGTCGGTTACAGTGCAGTGCGTGAAATAGCTCCAAGACACATACGTTCGTTGCTTCCTTCGACTGGGAGAGTTAATACCAGATTTTCAGAGCGTAGCGTAACCAAGAGGAGTGCATAACAACCTGCGTGATTGACAGTTGACTATGATATAGTCTGGCTCATCTTCCACTGCCATGCCGGTTACGAACTGTGCAGAGGAGAGCAGTTAGCCCCACGAGTTAGGACTTTCTTATATGCAAACCTGATCGTGTTTTGCACGCGCTGTCTTCTCCTTTGTCCGCTGTGATGGACTTCCCATGCGAGCCGCACATGTTTGGCACCAGCCTGCCATTGATGTGATGTACTTACTTGTTTTGCTTCATCGCCAGTCCGTTTTTTCGTATGTATTTGCTCATCAATTTGATCCCTGTGTTGGATTAAATTTCACCGCTGACCGCTCACTGAATCCCTACGACATTTGCATTTTGCCCCTCTCCCTCCAGGGACGTTGAACTGCTTCCTCGGGCACTCCTTACCACGGGGATTAGGCCGATTATTTGGTCTCTGACCCGGCCCGTGACCTTAAGCATCATAAGCCTGCCTTGTAATCCCGAAATCGCGGATTCGAGCATGTGTAGGGACTGGGCGACTCTCTAAGTATGCTTAGCGCATGCGCGACTGGTCGGGGTTGCGTGGCAGCGAAGCGTCAGTATGGTCTTTCTCCGTACTGCTTGCGCCCTTTCCTGCACTCTGTTGAATCTGTTTCTTCCACCACAACTGCATAGGAAACACTTTGTATGAGCACTGTAAGAGTGGAAGGCATAACAGACTCCGCTGTATACATCTCAATCAAGTACCAAGGCAGGAATATACTGCAGTATTCTGTGGTCCCATGTTGATTAGACTGTCACAGTATACTCATTCTCTCGAAGTGGCAATGCCAGCTCTCTTATCCGAGCCCGTCCGATAAGAATAATGTACGTTCAGGGTCACTCTCGTCTCGAATGAGTGCGTGCGGCGGAACTACGACTGTCGCCTACCGACGTCGTGCAATCCTTAGCGTTAAGTTCATAGTTAATGAGAGGGCTTATGCGTTCATGTTAAAACAAGTCGGAATGGCACTTGCTTTCCGTCGCGATCCATGAGACCTATGTCATCTTCCAACATAATCATCGGTCGAAGTCTATTCGTAACACCCGAATGACTATATAACATGCGTGCCACAACATGTGGAATCAGGTGACGCAAACTTCTGGCCTGAAGCGACCCAGTCCAGCTTTTTAGCATGCATTCAATTCTAGGGATTTTTGTCAGCGCGGTTTGCCATTTGTACTTCTTCCTTAGAATCTTCTTCGCCAGTCCAATTCTATTCGCTGGTTACCGTTCGGCCTATGTTTTCATCCCGTCCAATCATACTTTTCTGCAATTTGATGGTCGTTACTCATGAAAGATCCCATCCTAGTCCGCTAGTTTATCGGTCGTCTTCGCAACATTGCTCGCGTCTAGAGGTCTCGTAGAACGAGTAACACAGGTGAGACCACAGGATCCCCTGTTGTTGGTCTCGATGCTGTTGAACACTAACTATCATAATTCACTGGTTCAATCCCTCTGCATGCCTATTTTCCGACTTCCTCGACTTGTGCTATCTCCTCGATGATATGGCAAAAAGCAACCAGTCTAGACAAAGAATAGGATTGTCACATTTCGTCTCGCTGAATGAGATCTTCAGTCACGATGTGCAAACACCGAGTAGTGAAACTCTTGCGTTCCGTCTCTTGATGTGTTGACTTTTGACCGCTGTGTAGTCCTTATTTTGATTCTCTAATGATCAAACAAAACTTGCTCCCACGCTCTGTTGATCCACAGGTACGATCCGTATCTTCAATTCTTTTGTGATATCACAGCGGCATCGCATCAAATGTGCTTAGGAGCGTGCCGTGAGCCCGTGCTTTCCTCCTATCACCTGGCTACTTTTAAAGACGTTTTCCATTTACATTGCAGAAAACGACCCATCAGGTCGTCTACCGGAGCTCGCTCGACTTCTGGGTCTACTTCCACCAGACAATTGGAAGGCCCTCAAGCTATTGACTGGGCATCTTTCAAAGTGAGTGTCAGCTCTCACCTACCCTTGTTATCTGACACTCATTGTGTATGCTTCAGGCTTCCTCATCGTCGATGTTCTCCCAATTCTGCTTCTAGGGTGACCGCTGAAAGTGATTACAATGGCATGACAGCTAGCAACTTGGGCATCGTTTTTGCGCCTTCCCTGATGCGTTCCTCGGAGGAGACGGTGGCTGCGATCATGAACACCAAATTTGCTTGCATAGCCATTCAGCTCATGATAGAAAATCATGCAACGTTGTTCGGCACCATGGATTCAAGACCAGGTCAACTCCCTAGAATACAGCATCCCTCACAACCGTTGTGTGCCGCGCCTCTTCTCAATCGCATCCGACCGAGCCCTGAGGGTAAGCGCACTCTCGTTTGCACCTATGAACCAGTCTGTTTTCCAACCAGGCTGGCTCATCTTTTGGGTATATTTGAAACAAAATACATTACCCAGTGCTTACGATATTATTACTAATATGTACGAGAATTTTAATTTTAATATTTTCGTCCCATTTGCTCACAGGCTACATAGCACAACGTAGTCCGGAAAAGCACCAGACGCGTTTCGCGCTATTGGGGCTCGTCAGTGGTGCGTATTCCCTCGGTCCCCTACTGGCGAAACGTAACCTAGTGATGAGCTAGAGGCAGATGCCAAATAGACAGCAGCTTAAGCCACCGAGCCATGGGGTGTGTCGGCTGGGCTACACAGTTACAAGGAATGATATCTCTCCGATACCCCTTCCCCCCCGTGTGGTAGCCAGCCGTTTCTGATAATGCGATGTCAACAGCGTGTATTCGCATTACACTTGAATCTTCACGAAACCCTCCTAGCTCCTGCATCAACTCTCTTTTTAGTTCGGTCAACTTGAATGTGCTTCTTACGAACAAACCCCTAATTGCCCTGGATTCATAGATCTGCCGCCCGATAACCTCTAATTTGTCATGGTCTATCTTTTCACCTATCCTTGTGTGTCCGAAGCACGTTGGGCATACTGCGAAACACCTCCCCAGTTGGCCCAGTAGTCACAAAGGACGGATTGCAAGGTTGTAACAAACCACCTCACTATCGGTGATCGAGTGGACAGACAAACCGCTTTACAGATTCTCAGCAGAATGCTAACAAAGCACAGCTATGAACGGAGACCAAGATTAACTGCTACCGCGAATGTGGCATGCTTACGTTCAATGAGAATTGACCTAGTTGTTTCTTAAGCAAAATAGAACAGTCGTTGCACTTGCCATGGCCGGCCACCAGCTTGGAAGGATGGGAGTATAATTTATGGGACCGCTATCACATGGTCAGCTTTGATGGTAGTGGCGATTGAAAACCATCATTCCTGTGTACATTACCAAATAAGTCTGAAGAAGTGATCAAGTGCAATTTGTTCGCTTTTGGCTTGCAGACTTCTTTTTGAGATTGATGTTACCGCCAGGATTCCAACGTCCGCCACTCTTCCGAAACTCGAAGACTGTCAGCGCTCTCTATAACATAACAGCGGTTGCAGAGTTTGGAGGATGAAAACGAGTTTACAGTTAACCATCATTTTACCCCATAAATGAGGGTATTGTGCTCGTGGGATGGGCATTTTTCCGTTTTGGACGATCTCACGAAATTGCCTGATAACTTTAACCAATTGCAGTACTAATGCCTGATATTTGGATATCTTTTGTAAGAAGATTCCTCAAAGCTAGACATCCACCACAAATCCAGGAAGGCGATGAACGGCCATTTAGTCCTTCTAGGACTCGTCAGTAACGCGCATCTGCCGAATCCTGCTGGATCCGAACCCATAAACTTGCTCTTACGAGCAATAGCGGCTTATATGCCACCTCGGCCTGAGAAACCGGGAATCTGTATGCCCACACAACACATGAAATGATGGATTTACGACTCTGCTCACGTTTCTCGATTTCTGAACTCTCTCTCTTTGGCCGGGGTGTTGTTGGCCGGGCGTGCTGAACCTCACTCTACCGCACCGCAAACCACGTTCTTCGTTTCACGTTTATTCAGATCTCCAGTTCTTGGCAACTCCCCTCCAATTTCGTGTTTCCAAAGGTGCACTGCAAATAAAAACGGTACCTTTGGCCTCCTCAATGAACCGCTCAAAACCGATCGCACACATTCCAATATCAACAGCAAGGCTTTTAATGCACCTCGTTCGCTCGTTCAATGTTCGAACGCTTATGTTGGTTGGTTCACAAGCTGTTCTTGCACGCTCCTTTTAAATCCTCTCAATCGACGTTTGCTGCCTAATGGAAACCCGTTTACCAAACTTTAGCATAACGCTGCCATTGCTCTCACTATCCCCAAATTCTTATTGCACATTCACCTTGCGCTTATCTGGAGATGCGACAGCGGCAGTCTCTGGTTACGCCGGCGTAAGGGTTGCGTTAAGCGCGCGTGCTGTGGCAGCGCTCATTAACTGGTTCCCGGTCAGCAGCCGTCTTTGTGCAGTCCGCTTGGAAAACTCAGTGCGACCTTCCAGCCACGGGACCAGTAGGCGCTACTTATTCATTGTGCGGCGTACGCTCCGACGGACTGCAGCCCGAACGAAACGCAAGACGAGTTCTGCCGCCAACTCACCGACCTTCTCAAGAAACGCCGCACGAACATCGTGATACTTGCCAGTGACCTAAATGCGCAGGTTGGTAAACTAGAGGTTCATGAGCGCGAACATTGGGGGTCAACACAGCCACGGTACTCGCAGGACGGACAACGGCGACCGGCTCCTGCAACTGTGCGCCGCCCACAGCTTGTTCCTCTCTAGCACCAATTTCCGACGTTCTTGGCGCCAACGAGCCATCTGGCGACGTCTGGCGCCTGGTCAATCTTGGACGCAAATTGACCACATCGCTGTTAGTTACCGTTCGTGTGGCTGCATAACCGACTGCCAGTCAATATGGAACACTTATCTGACTTCGGATCATGCGTTCGTGTGTGCTAACTTCGTTCTGCGTTTTGTAGGCACCCAACAGCTTAGCCGGAAATGGTTTGTCACAGACAAGCTCGCCGTTCTAAAGGTTCTCGGCGCATTTCAAAACACATCAGTCTCCAATCTACGTTCTCTATTCTTCGACGTTGAGACACATTGGGAACAGATCCAGAGCGCCTTCCGAAAGTCCGCTACGCTGGTCTGTGACTTCACTAGATGAGCTGTTAGTCATTGGATCTCCCCACAGTCTCTCCAATTAATGGAACGTCGTCGAACAATTCTAGCCGGAGTTGAGTGCAGCGCACTACGCAAAACTACAAGTGCTGAGCTCAGACAGCTCCTCAAGAAGGATCGCGAGGTTTGGTGGACACAGCGCGTCGTCGAGATGGAGCGGGCAGCCTCGTCCGGAAACTCCCGCAAACTCTTCCAAGTTCTTCGCTCCACGGGAGGAAGAAGACCAACATTGAGTGAGGTTTTTGCGTGAAAATGACAGTGAACTAATTCACAGTCGTCACCTTCGTCTGTTACGATGGGCAGAGCAGTTCAAAGATCAATGCAACTGGCCAGCAGCGCAACTGAGTCTATTTTCCGGGGTTAACAGTGCTCCCTGGTGCGTGGATATTTCTCCACCGACAGAGACTGAGGTTTCCAATGAGCTTCGACTACTAAAGCGCCACAAATCACCTGGTCCAGATAAACTTCATCCTGCCCTGTTCAAATATGGAGATCCAGCTCTCACACGCGAACTGACATCTCTATTCCAACAGATTTGGACTACTGAAACCATTCCATCCGACTGGAATTTAGCGGATGTTTTCCCTGCTTATAAAAATGGAGACCGGACCATTTGCTCCAACCATCATGGCATCAGTCTCATTTGTGCCGCATCCAAACTGCTCGCTGCCCTACTCTTACGGAGGATCAGTTGCGTACGGGAACAGCACCTTCGTGAACAACAAGCTGAATTTCGCCCGGGTGGCGGTTGCGTCGATCACATCTTTACGATCTGCCAGATACTTGAACATCGCCATACTTTCAGTCGACCAACCATAGTCATATTCTTGGACATTCGAGCCGCTTTTGACTCTGTTGACAGAGTGGCTCTTTGGGACTGCTTACTGAAGAGGGGAGTACCTGAGAAGTACATCAGCATTCGCTGTGCTATTTACCATCAAACTTCGGGTCGCATGCGAGCATACGAAGATATTTCGCTCCTTACAATATCACCAGAGGTTTTAGACAGGGTTGCCCAGCCTCTCCATTCTTGTTCAACTTCACCATGGACGAGATCCTGGATGCTGCCCTGCGGTGTTGAACTGCTCCCTGGTGACCGCCTTCGGGACTTAGAGTACGCCGATGACATCGCTGTGATTTGCGAGTCCTCCCAAGCCGCCCAGCATGTGCTGCTCAGACTGGAGATGTCCGCCGCCCAATTTGGGTTGAGTTTTGCCCCTTCCAAATGTAAGGTCCTATTACAGGACTGGCCAAGCGCATGTCCTTCTCTCACCCTTTCGGGGCATCCGTTGGAAGTGGTCGACAAATTCATTTATCTTGGGAGTTATCTTAGTATTGGCGGTTTGACGGATAAGATCTCTCTGCGTGTCTCCAAGGCTAGAGTCGCTTTCGCTAACCTACGTCAACTGTGGCTTCGTTGCGATCTCAGGCTCGCTCTCAAGGGACGAGTCTACAATGCTACGGTGTCAGCGATTCTGCTGTACGGCCATGAGATTTGGCCCGTTCGCAAAAGCGATGTTCAGCCGCTATCAGTTTCAGATCACCGCTTCCTGCGAAACATTTGCGGGTGTTTGATGGCCATACCACATCAGTAACTAGGAAATCCATCGGCGAGTCTTCAGATCTAACGAACTCCGCCGAGCGATTGATAGCATCATGTCATTACGGGGGCTTCGCTGGCTTGCCCATGTGCTTCGCATGCCTACCAAAGGGCTACCACGATGAGCCCTATTTGCGAGCACAGGCCTGACTTGTAAGCGACGAAAAGGAGGGCAATGTAAAACTTGGATACAATGCGTTAAGCGCAAACCTTGAAGTTGGCTGTTGTTGGTCCTTCCTGATTCCCGGGTTTGGGACCAAAGGAACCCAAGCACACCTTGTTGCAAACGCTGGAGGATATGGCCATTGACTGTACGCAATGGACACTTGCTGTGAGACTCATCTATCCTAACAGTTGTCTTCCCTTTCATGCTATCTTAGTCCTTCTATGATATGTGGCTCTCAGCCAATTCTATTGTAATTGAGATAGTGTTGACATTATATATATATATATATATATATATATATATATAAACAGCCTAATCTTCGCCCACTGTTCACGAAATTAGGCTAAACAACCATGACCAAGATAATGTTTACCATCTACTTAGCCGGA